ACCCCCTGCAAAGGAGGGGGGCGAGGCACGAGCGTCATGTTACCATGCTGTTACCATGCTGTTACCATGCTGTTACCATGCCACGGTAACCTCTCATTCCCCTGATTGGTGGAGAGTTGCCCATATAGGCGGAGCTCCTCGTTTCTGAAGTCAGAACAATTCCAAATCTGGATCAGATCCGTTGCAGCCCCGTTATTAGAGATTTGGGTACGGAGGAAAAGAGAGAGGGTTGTGTTTTCTGACACTTGGTGAGTTCCCCGACACACCGGGGACACATATTCATGTATAAAAGACGTACAAAAGTGCATTTTGCATGATAGGTCCCCTTTAAAGTGTATTTTAAGAATATTTTTAACCTAATGGATGACAGTTATTTTTGAAGAGGAACTTATGTTGACTTCAGAGCGTCGAGATCCTATGACAAAAACAATAATGTTACCTCGCAAAACCCAGAAGACACTATTCACCAGTAAGTAACATAATAACACTAACAAACTTACCAATTGGGCACAGGTGAACCAGCAACATCTGTATTTTGTGAGGTAAAATTGTTGTTTTTGTCAACAAGTCTCGATTGATATAACGGCCTATGCTTCTCCCTATAGGAGAAAGCTGTTTGACAAGAAGGTAACGCAATATTTTAAAAAAGCAAACACTTAGACTGAAATTGTTTTTTTTGGAGGGATTCTTTTAAAGGGCAAAAGTGTGTTTTGCTGACGCGCTTTTCCAAAACAACATTGCTTTGCTTCTCCTGTTTCTCTAAACGTGGGACGTGATGAATGCAATCTAATGTAGGTAGAATAAGGATAAGTAGTTCATAAAATCTGAACAATCCCTTTAAACCTCATTTAAACATGCTGTAAGCTATCCAAAACTCTATTTAGGCTTTGCTCCTCTAGCTTATAATATTGTGCTTCTTGTAACATAACTGAGTCTTATGTGCTGCTGAAAAGTCTTTGTTGGCTCCTGACCTGAACTTCCCCGAGGCCCTTTTTTCGTTTCACATCGTACTTGATGATGAAATCTCCTTCAATGATGGTGCCTTCACATCCTGGACATTTCTTCTGCTGATCCAGTGTTGGAGAGAAAGAGATGTGTGCCTGAGAGCCAAAAAAAATATATTTCACAACATTATTGGAGACATCATTATTGCTTAAAAAATGCATCATGATGTTCAGAAGCTTAGAAATCTGTCTACCTTTGTGTCTGTGACGGTTTTCTTCACCAGGGGGAGCAGCTCGTTGGAGAGGAAGGTCGCAGTGGTCTCAACAAAAGCAATACCCTGAGGCTCATAGATGTTTGTTACAATCTGTCTCAACACACACACACACACGCACACACACACACACACACACACACACACACACACACACACACACACACACACACACACACACACACACGTTATCACTGAGGCAGATCAAGTGTGGACAGGCAGCTTTCCAGCTCCTCCTGACCAGTATGTTGTTATGAAGTAGAATAGAGGAGGAGATCATGTCCAACCTGGAAGTCCTGCACCGGTTGCTCTGGTTTAACTCGGGTCAGAATCTCATACTGGCCCAGTTTCCTCTGAAGGAGCTCCTCGTAGGTCAGAACGAAAGTCACGCTGCTGTTGGCGGCGATATTGACAGAGACTGAAAACTTCTCCATCTTTCTTCCAGAAGCCCTGTAATGATGGAAGTGTGTTACTTTAATATTCACACAACAACAGGTTCACTGTCAAATGTTTCAGTCCAACATACTTCACCAGTCCAGCAGTCTGTCCAGAGGAAACAGCCTTCTCATATTGTTTCTTAGCTTTCTCTTTCTCCTTTACATCTCCAACGTACATCTGACCATCGATTTCCCTGTGAGGAAGAAAGAGATTGTTAAAAAATATGCTGGAGAAAGTTTTTAGATACCAAACTGTAAACAAAGTCCTGAATGAAAATGTACTTAAAGTATTAAAAGCAGACCATAAAAATCTATTTTACCAATATAAATCATTAAAATAGTAAAAAAGTAATGCAGCAAATTCTATCCAAATATTTGAGAAGCTGGAAATATAAAAAATGACTTCAATCGTTATCAAAATATTAATATATCAAACAAACAATAGATGTGCTTCCTTTTCATAGGTTTTAAAATCTTAATATGTAAAAGTAATAGAAAATGAAGTTATCAAATAATTTAAGGGGAGGAAAAAGCTCGATATTTAATACGGTATTGGAGTAGATAGTGGCATGAGATTAAAAAACAAGTTCTTTCAAATTGTACTAAAACACTACATTTAACCACCATCTGTGTTCACAGTTAAAAGTAAAAAACATTTGGACTGACATGCTGAAGTTGGCGATGAAGGCGGTTTTGGGCAGGTCCACCTCGAAGAAGATTTCCTGGGATTTCCTGGGAGGAGTTAGCTCTGTTCAGAGCCTTGGAGGTCATGACGGTGTGGGCGAAACGTAACGTCACGGTGCAGTCCACCCTCACACTGTACACCTCCACCATCTGAAAGGGGTGAACACAGTTTCAACCTGCCTCAGTTACCGTCATTCTCCATCTGTCCACCAGATGCCCTCAGACTTTCCTACTTCCCTTGTCTGTCCTGCATTAACCTCTTCCCCTCCCCACTTTCCCACTTTCCCTTCTAAGCCCTGCAGTATTAACCCAGCCCTTTTTCTACTCACGCACTGTCACATTGTTCCCTGTCCTTCTCTGTCGGCTCCACTCCTGTTTCACCGGGACCATCATTAAGATCTGTCCATGCTTGCCTCCAACCAGTAAAACCTTCTTTTTTTTCTTGTTTGCCAATAAATCACTAAAACCCTCCTGTCGCCTGGTCTGTCTGCTTTATGGCTCTCACCCCCTTGTTGCAATTTGACACAAAATACCCAAAACCTGTCATGCCAAATATAATACGATGGTATGATGATACTTTAAGTTCAGTTTAAGCCTGAATTTGTTCTTGCACCACAGAAACTCCATTTGCATCATCCACAGGGACACATAAGAAACAATTCATCACATTATAATCACAAGAGAATTTCCCAACCATACATTTGATGTGGGATTTAACTCTGTTTTCAAATAAAGGATTTAAACGTCAGATCAAATGTAAGCTTAAGGGTTGAGTAAAATGCTTTCTAAACAGGAAACAACATCAATAAGTTATTCCCATAACCAATATTAAAAAATGATATCACAGCAAGATCAGAGGCTAAGACAACTGGCAGCTGGTTGTTGTCTCTCTACTGAGTTGTGCATCGGATGTCATGAGAATTATCCCCTTAATGGAAAATTCATATCACAAAACCCAGATAGGTCAATGTTATGTAAACACAATGTGAGATGGAACTTTTGTAGATACGAATAAAAGCTTAGAGGGACAAAAAAACTTCCCGCATGTTTATTGTCTCCAGCAAAGCACAGAGAGGAATACATGCATGCCAATCAGCACTGTGGGGGAAAGAGTGCATGGACATCTGGAAGCAATGAGCTTTATACAAAATGTGGACTTGATTTTTCAGACAGTAACAATGGCACTACTGTGAGATAGAAGCTACCAGTCGCCATGGTCTCATGTGTGTTGCATTATTATATCCAGATTTCACAATGACTTTCCCAGTGATTGAACCTGATACAACTGGTTACTTACATTTGCAGGGTTTGTGCTTCGTTTCTGGAGCGGAAAAAGAGACAAAAATATAATTTATGAGATTATTTTTACAATCAACATTACAGGGTGAAAGAAACATATAAACACAGCTGAGTACTTTATATTATTGCAAGTCATTTTAATTGTAGTACCTTTATTGACCTGGGGCCCATAGCTTCTTTTGTTTCCTAAACAACAAAGTATGACAACATGGTTATTAAGAAAGGAACAGCAGGCTTGGAAATAAACATCCACCTAATAAATGATGGTTTGCTTTCATAAAACCAATACTGCTTCAGTAGACATTTGTCATCTTCTAATCTTCATCATTTCTTATGCTACGAAAGCAAGGTGTGGCAAAATAATCTGATGAAGGATTTAATTAGTGTGGGAAAAGAGTTATGGATCTAAGGTCACGCAAATCACAAACTGGCAGAAATCAACGAGTAACGGCAGGTACACTGGCAGCAACATACTGTAGATAGATAAGTCATCTAACGTTAACGTAATCACATAACAGAGAAGCGTAGTTGCTGAGTGGACACACAAAGAAAGGAGCGGAAGGGCAGGCATCACAATGACACACCTTCTTCTTAATGCACTATTTCTTGTAACTGCATTGATTGGGCAACAGAAACACGTAGTAGAAACATGGTGTTTCATTCAAGTTTTCCCTATTATGTTCAGGTTCATATGTGTGTGTTGTGCTTCTACTGTGACATGTTAATATGATTTAATGTTCATGTTCAAATAACTGACTTTGCTTTGAAAGGAAAAGGTTCAGATGTTACGTTTTTTTTTATGTTCAGCAGTCTGAAGATATGACTTGAAATTAGCCGGAATCTCATTAAAATGTATCTTTTAAAATAGTTATTACGAAAAAAGTAACATCACTCCCCCAATAAAAAAAGACTAAGCTTGGTTTTTTGCAAGTTTTAAATATACTTTCTTTCAGCTGTAAAAGCTTAAGTGTTCCTGGAGATGCTCGCGTCTCTAAAGCTTTGGCATCGTTTGCATTAGATTTCCTGAGGAGCTCTTTCAGGAATGATTGGCAAAGAACCAAATCCACCTATAGCCAAGAAGAAAATACCAACACGCCCTGAGCATATACCATCTTAATTATGTGGCTTGTTGTTTGTTTACCTTTTAGACATTGCCAAACCTCTTCACAACAAAAACACATTCCTTAGAGAAAAGGGGTTTTCATTATTATGACAAGAGATAATGCGCAAAAAGCCAATTTTCTTTGTGGTTAAATAATCATTTAATTCTTCTGGCAATACTTGCTTTGTAAAATGGTTTTCTGTAAATAAGATTCAGCAAATTCAGAAACGTTTAGGTTATGTTTAAATAATCAAATAATTAAATATATTTATTTATGAATCAATCGATTCAAGTTCATTTATATAGCACATAGTGGTCTTTAAGAATATAAAATAAAATAGAAGATGAATCAAACTAAATATAACATAAACATAAGACGTCAGAAGTGTGCAATAATAAGATAAAATCAGATATATAAACATACAAACTTGTACAGTAAAATGACAATAAAAGAAAAAAAGTAAAATGTGATACAAAAAAAGGAAGTCAGTGTGACTGTCGTTCAGAGAGACGAGTCAAACACAGTCCGATGGCCTAAGGCAGAAATGACTTCCTTTGGTGATCTGTTGTGCATCTTGGGGGAATAACCGTAGATGGACATTTCACTTATTATTTTTTGTAAAGGAGTACAGTGGCAGACTCAGGCTGACTGAGGGGCAGGGGCAGAAAAAAGGGGCACCAAAACAAGAGAAGAGTTTGAAGAGTTTACCAGAGGTCATAGCAACGATTATCGGCTATGCCAGAAGGACTGTAGCCTGTTATGAATGTATCAGTGAAATGCACGCTGGTAACATTTCAAAGGTAACACATTTTTAATGAAGCAGCGTGAAGACTGTTGCCACTAGATGATGTTACATGTTGTGAGCATGTCAAATCAAAGAGTCACTTAGGGAACAAGACCATTAATGTCTCCTCCCCATACTATTCATAATGCATCTCAGGATCACTGACTTTCTAAACTCTGATGTTGAAAAACATATCCATTCAATGCAGAAAACTTAATTTTCGTTCACATTCACATGTTCGTTCACATTTTCATAAACCTGCATCTCTGGTATACTAGTTGAACCTGAAATGAACCTGAAATCAGCAAAAATATTAATCCTTTAAGTTTAAGTAAAAATACTGCACACTGGAAATACTCAACTTCAAGTCATGCATTGAAACCAAACACTATTCATGTAAAAGTTAATATAATCAGATAATGTACTTAAAGTCTCAAAAGTAAGCATTGTGTAGTTCCCTGACTGCTATGTTATACTATGATGTGTTGTGTTGTCAGACTTATTAAGGAGAATATAAAATATCTTCTTATGAGATGTTGTGAAGTATAAAGTTGTATGCTAAGAAAATAGTAAAAGTAGCCTGCCTTGATTTGTACCCAAGAAAAGTACTTGCGTAGATTTACTCCAATGATGACAGGACATGGATCACGTAAATAGTAAGGAATAATTCATTACTTTCGATAGTTAAACCTAGAATATTGTTTTTATCGGATCTATTCATGTGTTTTCAAATTGGAAATTCGGGAAATCCAAATAATCCGGAAAAGTTACATCCCTGTATGTTGCTATTTGCACAGCTTTGATAAATATGCCCTCTAAACAGATATTATTTTTTCTATTTTTATTCCTGGGAAAACACTGTTGCTGCAAGGCTACTAGACCTGCAAAACACGCCTCTTTAAAACTGACTTTGTAAACAATACATGGACTCCATCGACTGATCGCGATGGACAACAAAACAGCCATTTGTGCACATGCCAATGGACAAATTATGCACATGCAATTTATTTCAAATACCTGTGTCGGATCATCTCCGCGAGAAACCACCAGAGCTCCTTGAGCCTGAGTTGGGAGAAATATGCAAACACAAACCCACAGCAGCATGACTCTCCACGGTGCAGGCATGGCTGGGAAACAGAGGAGCCTCTGCACTGGCATTGCTGAAAACAAGTGAAGAGGGAATTCGAGGTATGTGGGAATCAAGACTTCCCACAATACTTTTTACTCCACCCACCCACGCAACTCAGGAGGAGGGACCCCTCAGTAGTGTGGTGTTATTGAGTGTGTGCGCGTCAGTGCTTCCCGTAAAAAGGCCTACAAGTGCATGTGCGGGAAACTCATCAACTCAAAATATACAAATCTAGTCAAGACTTGTTTAGCCAGTGGGAGTTCTTACGTCTGTTTACATGTGTTCACTACAAGCTTAAAGGGCATGTGAATAGATTTATGCATTTCTTCTACATTATACAAATATATTGACCATAAGTCTTACAATTATCGCTGTACATGTTGGTATTCTTTAGGTTGAATTAGGACATTTAGACTTTTTTTAAATGAAGAAAGGTTTCAACAATTTGTCCCCCGCTAAGGTAACGTTTATATAAAGGATGTGGTTTTGGAGTCCCACATTAGACCTCACATGAACTGTTACAGAGCTTTTTCTCAGAGTTGCGCCGCCTGGAAACAATTTGGATCTCACTAAACATCCTGAGAGATCCTGATACAGCAAACATTTAAAATACAATACAAAAAGCAGGGTGCACCAGTGTGGAACGTTCGGATTTTAGGCTTTGCAGACCATTTACATGCACATAAACCTATCACTCTACAGTAAAACTATCACACATTTTCAAAGAGATCTTTTGAAAAACAGAAAAGGATATAAAGAAATCCAGCTCTAGTGAATCATTAAGAAAAGTGTCCCATTGTTTTCAGTACAATTTATTTCTGAGGTTTATCCCACCTCACACTTTTTTGGGATAGTGTCCATTTTTATAAGACCCGGAATTGCACTGATAGAAACTGTGAAACTGTCAATATAATGCTGTGAATGAAGTCTGTTTGCCCAAGGGAACAAGATGTTGGGTCATTCATGGTGTAAAACAGGCATATTTGTTATTGTATGAACTATTATTTATTTGATGGACATTGTGTAGCCTAACCTGTTTTTATACAGTTTTAAAAAGGCCTGAAACAACGTAGTCTGTTGCATCTCCATCGATGAGGCCTGTTCCGTTACTGTGAACGAACCAGCAGGGAACATTTTCTCCATTCTTCACATCCTTCCTAAAGTCTCTCTGCCAGCCTCTGTGGACAGAAATGTACACCAAATGATATCTTAACTGCATGTACAAAGCAACATCGATGTATTCATTTTCAAAACAATCTCCCCCACTGAGATGAGGCGTGTGTTAATGCATGCAGCGTACCTGGTCACATTGAGCTCCCGGCCTTTCACATACATGGTGGCGTCCGGTTTCTCTGGGACCTCACTCGGACGCAGCTCGGACACCTCATATTCAATCCCATGGTAGAACTGACCTGCAAGACAAATCAGAATTTCAAGTAAATATCATTTTAAAATAAACACATTTTGGCCCTGTATCCCACCCCCCACAAAAACAAAAACCCACAAGTCCTTTGATAAACTGTACCAATTTAAGCCACTTTAATGTCTTTCACTGACCTTCTTATATTCTATGATATTCTTCCGGTTGCAGGATAAGGTACAATTCTACCTGAGCTGGCACTGCAATGTGCAACCTTTACATTTTGATCATTATTATGCATGTGCACCATATTACATTACATTACATGTTACTTGTTAGACGCTTTTATCCAAAGCAACGTACATACTCAATACTGTGGGCAATCCCCACAGGAGCAATTTAGGGTGAAGTGTCTCAGGGACACAACGACATGCTGACTGCAGTGGGGTTAGAACCTGTGCTCCCCTGATCCAAACACCAATGCACTAGTCCACTGCGCCAAACGTTTACCATATCAGACCAATCATAAAACACAGCGACACATATTCTGAAAACGTATCCATGGGCTGACTGATTTGGTGTCAATTTATCTTATCATTATCTTTTTTATATTTTGTCTGCTCTGAGGAGAAACCAAAGTATGTTCAGAAATGCAATACCCATCACTTATCTTGACCTGGTATTAAACTATAAACCATGCATCTATTCTCTGATGTGTTTCATGTTGTACCTAACAGGCCGTGAACGACAGGGGACAGGAGGTGGCTGTCCAGGGTGTAGAAACCCAAGTAGTCCCGATGATACGGATGCTTCGCCCACACTTTGTGGAGCAGGACGACAAACTTGACCGAATCCTTTAGAGTCACCGTTAGGCTGCGATCCTTGGTCAAGAGAAGATCCACACTGGCGGAGAAATAAGGGGAGAGGGGTTGCCAGTTATTCCTCCTAAACCGGATGGTATACTTCATTTAACTCATGAAGGAGGATAGTTCTCTTTCACTGAAGGAGAACAAAATGTGATGGTGCAGACTCTTACTTGGTTCCTTTGACAGAAGCTGTATCAGACCACAGCAGTTTGACCCGTTTGCCATCCTGGAGCACCACGATGTCCTGAGTGCTCACCTCCAGCCTTACCCCCAGAGACTGGTGGACGATGCCAAAACGCCAAAAGTAGGTGTTAATTTGACCATCAGGGGGAATCATCTTCTCTCCGATGGTCTCACCATTGACCAAAATACCTGAGGAAAAAACGAGGATTGAAGCACTTGTTTTTCAAATGCAGATTTACTTCAACATTTATGAAAAGAGAAAAAGAAGATCTACAGAGAATATTTATAGTAATGGTGTTTAAAAGTGATGATGATTATCAGGACTTAGGGCGGACCTGGTATTGGGTCTCTGACCAGGTTGAAAATGGTTCCTGGTTTGTTGTTAATGTTGAAGCACAGCGCGTCGTCCCTTTCAGGAAGCTCAATCAAGAAATGAGGATCTCCATCCACTGTAAGGGACAACAGAGTTTAAAGATACCAGTAATAAACAAAAATGCTAGTTTACAGCTATGCTAGCAGCTCAGTGAGGCTGTACAAAGGCACAGCAGTGCATTGAGCTAAATGCTAATAGCTGCATGCTAACATGGTCACAATCACAATAGGCTGCTAACATTTTATGTTATATGTTAAGCTGTAATGTTTAGCCTATCATTTTGACCATTTCAGTTAAGCAAGTTAGCATGCTAATATTAGCTTGTTAACGATAAACACAATACTCAAAATAATGATAAGATATCTCATTGCAAGCGTAAAGGTTTTGGCCTGATAGTGGCACTAAATGAAAAGTCAGCCATTAGCCGTACTTTGCCGTACTCAGTTCCCAGCACTTAGTACCCACCCCCCATGGAACTAAGTACAGATCGCGTTCACACCGGAATAAGCCCCTGAGGGAAGATTACGCGAATGAAGCCGCTGACGTCACTTCTTCTGCTTTGGGTTTACTGGCAGGCAGCAAACAACTTCAAGGCGTATACTGTCACCCGAAGTCCCCGGCCGGAAGTACCCGGAGTTGGCGAAGCCTTCTGAGTAAATCGCCAGAACACCGACACCTCCTGACCACTCCACCGCTCCCATGTTTTTTTTTGTGTTGCCATAAGTTATTCTCTCTCCGTTGGTGCGGGGCAAATGCAAATGCTAATGCTAATAATGCTAATGCCAGCAAATACAATGGCGGCTTCACAAAACTTTTCCGAGTTTTACGGGGCGTGGTTTGCAATCAGAAATTTGAGCTTTTTTCTCCCCAGGAAAGTACCTGCTCTCTAGCAGGCCCAGGAACTATCGGAACTAAAAGGGAAAAGTACGGGGAAAAGTACTCCGGTGTGAAAGCGCCTATTAAAGGTAGGGTAGGTAATTCACTTCAGAAGCACTTTTTGTTATATTCCATGGAATGCTCTTAACATCCCGATAGCAATGAATAAATTAAATGCTTTGACAATCTACAAATATTTCATCTGTGGAAGCCTTGGCTGTAAAAAGCAAGTCCAATTATCTGCCCCGATCCGCGGCAGATAATTGGATGGCCTACCTGCCTGTCAGCCTTCCATCTGTGCACAAACTTATCTCGTGCCCTCATTGGTCATGTGTGCGTAAGGAAGTCTGAAGGAATGGGCAGATTTTTTTCGGTTGTGTACTTTCAAATTCTAGCTTACTCAAGCTGGTTTCTCCACTCTTACCTACCCTACCTTTAACAAAGATATCATCCTCTGAGGACAATAATGTTTTTCCAGAATGTATTGTCAATTTATTTAATAGTTTTGAATATAGACTAACAGACAGACTGACATTGGCATCCCAAGATCTGCAGCTGCCATTGCTACAAATGTACTTACCTAAATATGTGGGTGCTGAATGGTAATAATTTGAAACAGGTAGGAGGGCTGCAACCTGTGAATATTGTTGATATCCTAGAGACAGTAACAAAAAAAAGTTTTAAATCAATAGCCTACAGTGAATTCACTTAAGTCAATGAATATAATGTTATAAATACTGCCTTACCAACTCGTTCTTCCTTTTGTCTTTGCTCTGTCAAAAATTCACATTTCAAACACAATGAGTAAAGACTAATAGTCAGTGATGCTTGAGAATGATTTAAGGTCATGTTTTGTTTGTAGATTCCTAGCAGCCATGTGAGGTTGGCCTATCACATTTGAAACCCTGTTTTCCCCACCTTACCCTCAGTCAGTTTATCTGCAATGAAAGGGCTGTCTGGTCCATCCTCAGTGTCAGGCTTGGTGACCACCATGGAGGTGAGAGGCGTGACGAAGCTGTATTGCAGAGACATGTCCAGCGCCTTGGCACTGGCGTTGGATTTCTCCTCTGGGGTACCACTCTTGCTGCAAGACGGAAAATATAGTAAAGTTCACACTGCATTCAGAATAGCAACATGGTAAGTGGACTGTATTTATATAGCACTTTATTCAGTCTTTACGACTCATTAAAGTGTGTTACATATACAAGTCTTCATTCACCCATGCAATCCCATTCATACTGAGGCTGTCATGCAAGGTACCACCTGCTCAAGGAAGCGGACGTCACATTGCAGGTCTCCCTTGAAAAAGAGATCTATGGTCTCAAGGGACCAATCTGATTAAATAAAGGTTTGAAATGATATGAAATGAAACTCACACACCGTAGTCAAGTAATTATCTTGCCAAAGGATACATCGACATCTAACTGCAAGGGCTGGGATCTAACCCAAAACCTTCCAAAAGCACGACCTCACTGAAATGTACACAAGCTCTCACACAACACAGACAAAGTATCAATAACAAAAAATGTCATGAGACTAATGGTAAATAAAGGTTCAAAAGCTAAAGTGATTCAGGTCTCAGTTTGAGTGAATTGACTCAAACAGACCTTGTCTCCAGTAGCTGCTGGATGGTGAGGTAGGCCCACAGACGCTCTGTGAAATCCCCAAAGATGTACTCCTCATCTGGGTACAACACGTCCCAATCCTCAACACTGGCCTGGCCCTGCACTTTAAAGTCCTCATCAAACTAGAAGCAGGAGAAATCATATTAAAAGTAATAAATAGGTAATAAACGCACAACATCTTTCCAGTGTCTCTAAATGTCCAACATTTCCTTCTCCTCACCCCCTGAGCGAATACTTCCACCATGAAGTTGTCCAGGTCGTTGTCGGTGAGTCGACCTGCCACCACGATCTCTGAGCCGTTAAACAGCTGGCTGTAGCTGTAGTGGTTAGCGTCAGGTGAGTCCGCACTGCGTTCCTCAGGATAACGCAGGTCCCGACCGTCCAAGAGCAGGAAGGGCGGCCCACCTCATTCATAGAAACCTGCAACAAATGTGTCATCTCATTAGATGTATCTAGACTTTGCTAGCCCCCCTGCCTCCCCATTTCATCTCCCGACCTTGGGCCGGTCACAAACCTGACACTAATAACCGTCAGGCCGTGTTGGGTTACAATGAACTTCAATCTGGAGTCAGCCCCTACTTTTGGCCCCCTTTCCTGCTCTGGTCCCAGGACCCTTTCGAGGGGTCTCCCGTCTGGAGTCTTTTGGAGGTCCTTCGGAGTCCTCCGCAAAAACATCCAAGACCACATGGCAAGGAGACGCCAAGGCCAGGCTACCAAGCAGCCCGAGCCCCAGCCTACCCTGCTTCTGGATACCGAGAACTTTATCAGTTGAAACAGTTTTATAATAAAGCTGGTTACCCCCGATTTCCCGCTGGGTTTCCCGCCGTGGTTCATTTGGTTCTCAGCTTCGTTCGAGCGCAATGCTGTAGGGCTATTTTGTTTATATGACAATAAAAACCTTTTGAATCTTCACAAGAACGTGCATTACGGCTCAAACGTGTCTTTATAGATGCGTGAGCCTGTACCCTGGAGTTGTATCGGCTGCATCCCGAACGCCTCATAAGATTCCTGCGGGCACATTCCCTTGTATTTGTTTTGCTCATCACCATCCAAAAAGGAAGGAGTATTCCCCCACATCTTACATCCGAATCCAAGACAGAAACAGGAGACATGTTTCGCCTCCCATATGGGCAGAGTGCAGCATTTTTCTTGGATGTTCCCAATGTTAGACTCTCCTCGCAACGTAGATAAAACAGTGCAGAGTTGAATGCTGAAATACAAGTAACATCAATTAAATGTGTAAAACACAATACATCAGTACTATCCTATGCACACCAAATCTGCACGCTCCACACCCAGCGTTTGGCATCCCATCAGTGATTAAAATAATCATGATTCGATGCTCCTCTCCTGGGAGTTTCTCCTCCTGCCTGTCTTTGGCCAGCCATGTTTCACCCCTCTCCAACACTGCATCGCTTGAATATTGGTTACTAGAAAAAAACACAAGAAAATTGTAAAAAATGTAAAAAAGTATGCCAGCGGTGTGTTCACTATTTATTGGAGTTACAAAGGAAATTGTAAGCTTATAAGCTAGTGTCCATTCTTGTATTGTTGTTTTCTATTTACACTCGCGCCCGTCCACTATCCCCCTGCTACATATTTCATCGCTTTCATCCAGGTTTTTCCTTGGTTGCTTTTGGTCAGTGACTGCTTCCCGAAGAGTTGATTGAGTCATCAAACTGGGGATGACGGCAGAAGTGGTCGTCCTCGTGGAGGTCTTTGAGGATGGCCAGCATAGCTTCCCCGTGTCTATAAAGTGGAATTGTAACGTCAAGGGGGCAAATTTAAGAGCATGTGGCCATTCAAATATCGAAAGACATTGACAATAATGAACAGTAATCACCTGTCCCCATCTTTGTTCCATACATTGATCCACCCTCTTGTCAATCAAAAGCTCAACGTTCTATCTCTGGGACTCTTGGGCGTCGGGGGGAAGAGAAGTGCACAAAGTATCCGTTCACAAATCTGAAGAAGGAGAATCAATCAAAGAGCAGANGAAGTGCACTCATAAGAGTGACAAGGCAAGATAAGAATTAGTATATATATATATATATATATATATATATATCTCATTGACTCATTTTATACCGAAACCCTGAGAGGAAAATGATTAAAAAAATCTGGTGATCCTTTTTTCAAATCTAATTTTGGAAAACACGTGGAAAAAGGTCAAGGCCTTTTTTTTACATGTGCATACGTGTATTTTGTTTGTTCTCTTAAACCAAATGTGATACATAATTGTGGTTGACACACATTTTAAGACAAAAGACATACACAATCTCAACTACCCCATCTTATTTAGAACATGAGGTAGTGGTGATTTTGTAAGCCTCTTAGGGCCAATATAATGTTCCCTACTTGTTTTCATAGAGCAAAAGTAAAGAATAAACAAGCAAAAACATATTTTTACCTCACAAAGAGAGGAAAGAATTTTCTCACTTTCATCTCAGGGCTGCGTAATTCATGTTGTTGGGCAACAGATTCATGCATTAATTTAAATTGTGCAATTCAGCCTTCAGGCCCCATGCAACACGGACTGATGCAATATTGTGCAATAGAGACACATACATTAATATAATATCACAACACCTTAATATGTTTACTTAGCGTTCAAAATGTTGCCACTCTTTTTTCTATATTTAATATGTTTACTCTTATTATTGTTTTCTGCTAATTCACTTTTACATAGAACAATATTTCTGACAGCTGACCTGAATGTCCCACTGGCTCTTTGCTCGGTTCACGTCATACGTGACGAGAAAATCTCCGTCGATGAGAGTTCCTTCACAATCTGGACACTTCCTCTGTTCCTCCATAGTTGGTGAGAAAGAGATGTGGGCCTGAACATGGGAACAAATACAACCAATTTAGCTTACCTCTAAATCTTTGGAAGAAGTTAGAGTAGCATCAGAGACAACTTCTTTCGAGGTCTGTGGTCGTACCTTATTGTCGGTGACGCGTTTATCCACCAGGGGGAGCAACTCATTGGAGAGGAAGGTTGCATGGGCATCCACAAAAGAAATACCCTTAGGCTCATAGATGTTGGTCACAATCTGTCTCCACACAGGCAAACACAGAAACAGACATTGTTTGTAAGGTAAGCCACTCATTTACTATATTTGAAATCTTAAAGAGACAGTGAAGTGAACATGAAAATGGACTCACCTGAAACTCCTGGACCCGTTGTTTGGGTTTAACTCGGGTCAGAATCTCATACCGGCCCAGCTTCCTCTGAAGGAGCTCCTCGTAGGTCAGAATGAACGTCACGTTACTTTCAGCTGCGATGTTGACAGACACTGAAAACTTCTCCATCTTTCTTCCTGAAGCCCTGTAATGACCCAGACATCATTGACAGCCTATAATGTTAACCCATGCTACAGTACACAAATACAGCATGATCATTTTGAAATGTATTTTATTCTGGGTTTATGCAATAAGTAGATTGATTTAAGTACTATACTTAAGTACAAATATGAGGAACCTGTACTTTACCTTGGGCAATTCCTTTTCCTGCTACACATACATTTACTCCACAATTCAGAGGTAAGGTTGACGACTATAAGGTTAAAACATATGCTCCATGTTTACCTGCTACAACAAACAAAATAATGCAACAATAATTATAATACATTATTTTGAATTTGGCCATTCTGCATATTGAGTACTTTTTGTACTTTAAGTATGGGCTGATGCTAAAACTTCTGTAATTTTACCTAAGTAACATTTTGAATGCAGGACTTGTACTTGTAATAGTATTTCTACACTGTTGCAGTTTTATCTTTTACTTAAGAACAAGATCTAAGTACTTCTTCCACGTCTGGGTTTTTATGTGTTGTTCATCTTGATTGACTCACTTCACCAGTCCAGCAGTCTGTCCAGAGGAAACAGCCTTCTCATATTGTTTCTTAGCTTTCTCTTTCTCCTTTATATCGCCAACGTACATCTGACCATCGATTTCCCTGTGAGGAAGAAAGATAGAGAACAAAGTCAACTGACCATTAAGAAAAAAACATCTTAAAAGGGCCCTTTATGTTTTTGGGGGGTTTTCCCTGTCCTGTAGTGTGTTATAGAGGTTTGGTGCATGTCAATGGTCTGCAAAGGAAAAAATCCCAAAGTTGCCCGAAACTCCTCCTTTGGATTCCTTTGTTTACTTCTGTAATATAGTTAGATCAATATATTTAACACTTGTGCTTCTATTGGGTAGCGCTCCAACACATTGTACGTGATAGGCTAAGGGACGGGACATCTCTGAGCGGTTGACCAATCACAACAGAGCCGGCCAGCTAACCAATCAGAGCAGACTGGGCTCTGGTTTCAGACAGAAGGTGAAAAGAGGTGCAGCAGCAGGCAGCGTGAGAGAAACAAAGACATGTTTGAACATTAAAGTATATAAACATGTCACAGTAGAGGCACAACATACAAATATGAACATAATAGGAGGAAGCAGGGATAAATACTGCAACACAGAAATGGTCATAATGCAAGTGTGAGTGGAGACAGACTGACATGCTGAAGTTGGCGATGAAGGCGGTTTTGGGCAGGTCCACCTCGAAGAAGATTTCCTGGGAGGAGTTAGCTCTGTTCAGAGCCTTGGAGGTCATGACAGTGTGGGCGAAACGAGACGTCACGGTGCAGTCCACCCTCACACTGTACACCTCCACCTGAGACAGACAGACAGAGAGGGAGGGAGTTTAAGGTGAAGTTGAAACGCCAGTGAATAAGGAGAGCACTTCACACATAGCATTTTTTATACAGTCAATTACTCCAATACTGTTTTTTCAGCTATGGGTCCAGACCACAGCATGACACCCTGATTGGTGCCAAAGAAAATGTTTGGAGAACATTATGTCACTGATTCCACTTTGGGAGTGTGTGTGAGTCAACCTGGGTGCTGCATACTCTACAGGGATAGTGTTGATATTTGAAAACTAAACTCCTTTTCAGTGAGTTTAGTTTTTTTATAATAATTTTTGGTTGATTGTAAGGAACATATTGAAACTATATGAGCACATTTATTGTTAATTGCCAATGCTTCCTTCAAGCTGTCGCTATGTGTAACCTGCTTGTATATTTATTTTCTAAACTCAAGTATTTTATTTCCTCTGCTTTTGATTTTGTACAGCATCATATGTTTTATTCGAGATTTTCTTCTTATATTCATTTATAATATAAGATAAGATAGGATAAGATTGACTTCATTCATCCCAAATTGGGATTTTTTTTACAGGTGTTACACATGCATTACAAATATAATAAATTGTAATAATAAACATGTAGAAGAAAAAAAGAATAAGAAACAATAAATATATATATATATATATATATATATCAGCAGTAGAAATGATATATGTCAATATATGTAACCAGCGAGGTAGTGTGGGTGCAGTATAGTAACATTATTATTATTATTTTTTTTTTATTTAGACATTGTGTATGTGCATGTGTTAATAAGGTTGCTAAGCCGTTGTATACCGTCTTTACAGCAGTACATTAAGTTATATTGAACTGAATATGTATCTTTATCAGTATTAGTATTAACAGAGAATCAAACATTTTCTTACCATGTCCTCACTTGTACTTCTTTTCTGGAACAAAAAAACAAACAGAGAAAAAATGTGATTATTTATCCAACTTTTGCACAATGTTTTCACCATATTATGAAAGGGCTTTCTGTCTCTAAACAGTTTCTGAAAAGTACCTGCAGTGATTTGGCAGCGCCTCTTGGCTCCTGAAATACAAATATGCCTGGGTGAACCAACATGGTGCCAGAATATAAGGACCAGTTCATCAGAAATACATTATATTAATTGTCATACATACAAATACAAAGATACATTAGAATGTTAGTAAAACCAAGGATTTCCAAAGTAGCAGTGTTGGTGATAAAGAGATTACTCATAAGAAAACCGATTAGTGACAAAATAATGAACCAGCTGATGAACTAATAGCTTCTGTGTGAAAACAATGTAATTTAAGATAAATTCAGAGTACAAAAAAGTTACTAAAAGTTACCTGCAGAGCTACTTTGTCTCCAGAAATGACCAGAGCCCCCCGGACCAGGCCGGGCGGCCCCAGGCAGGCGCTGCCCCACAGCAGCAGCAGTCCAACACCCTGCAGTCCAGACATGACCAAACGTCCACTGAACAGCAGCTTCACTGCTGAGAATAAAGCTCCCTGTCCAGGGGGAGGTACAAAGTGTGTGTGTGTGTGTGTGTGTGTGTGTGTGTGTGTGTGTGTGTGTGTGTGTGTGTGTGGAGAGTATTGACCAACCGACCTGGGCTCAATGTGCAGGAGGCCCGGACACCAAAAAAATCAGTGAATGTTGACCTGTGTGTGGGAGAGCAACTCCTTCTGGAGGAACATTAGGGATTTTAGCCTTTGCAGAACATTCACATGCAAGAAAACCTATATAACATACTACAGGAATGGGAAACCCCCAAAAGCATAAAAAGAACCCCTTTAAGTTAAGCCCCGAGCCTGTTTTTCAGGTCTCAGACTCGAAAATGACATTCCCAGAAAAATTACCATATCTTCCCTTCTAAAAGGGTTAAATTAATAATCTTTTTTCTCAAAGCAAGGTTACATCTGTGAGTTGGATGTAGAAGTGTCAGAATCAATATAGATGTTTTTATTTTAAAGCAAATTGAGATTGAACACAGTAAAAAAAATGTAAATGATTGTGTCCGTCCAAAAGCAATTACTTATAGTCATCCTTGAATGATGGGATGGTAGACTAAAAGCTTTAGGAATCCAAACTACAACATATAATAAGTACCCTGTATCAAGATTGATGCAAAACAAGTGAAATTTGACCTTTTTAGAGAGATTTAGCAAAAAAACAAACACTTCTGGGGTCATTTGGGTGGATTTTCCATATCTCTGACCCCCCTTGGTCGATGTTGACGATTGACATCTCTTTCTAACCGTCAGAGCCAATGGAATCGAGGGGAACTCCCACATACACACACATGTTAACTAATAAGGAGTGAGAGTGACGCATAGCCAAAACCGGAAGCTGGGATAACTCTGGTGGCTACCATTAGCAGCTAACTTTTACTCTCCGATTCTTACATAAAAATTGAATTATGGATTATAAATATTTTTTTCAAAGCGACAGACACATTATCAACCTATGGATTAACCGATTCAGCCGCGATTTTTCTCGCTTTAATGCCATTGAACACGTCTTTTGATCAGATTGACAGCTACGGTGAGACGATCTCCCATAAAAGCTCCGTAAAGGTACGTGTTGTGATTTGTCTGTTTGCTTCCCCTGTTGCGAGTTCTGATCGCTCAGTGATGATACTATACCTATATAATCTGTGGAACCTCAGTTTTAATCGGATATCTTGTATGTGCAGTTACGATAAGTAATAAGGGTATCTTTTATCTTGAGTTCTGTGCCAAAGTGCGTTAGCATTTTTCGCTCAGGGGTCATTTAGATGCTTCTTATGAGACTTGTGTTTTGTTTTGGTAAAAATGGTTTGTATCGTCAGTTAGCTGAGATTCTTCCCGTTAATCTGGTATAACACATTAATAGGTTCTTAAATATTAAGATCCCCTGAGACACAGTGTCGTGAAAAAAAAAAAAGACCCGCCGAAGGGGTCTTTGGGGCTCTACAGGTTAATAGTTACTAACATTAGATATTACATTGACAACACCAAGCCTTAAGGCCGGTTTATTAGTGATATGTACATTATTTCTACTATAGTTACTATAGCAGCTATATGTGATGCTCCCTGTTATGTATAGTAAAATAAATACATTGACTAAAAATGCTGTCTATGTTTGCTTCATTCAGCCCTCACTTTTCTCCTCTTTTGCCAGTCTCTTTCCCTCAACCACTTGTTTCACTTACTATAAGTGTGTGTTTGTGTCCTTTCACATTTACCAGCAAGCAGACAGTAGAATAGTGTAGAAAATAACAAAATTATTTGTATACTTGGGCTAAAGGCAGATATGTGCTCTCACTGATGACGTTATATGTATTTAGCCTTATTATGCTTGCAAACATAATCTATGCACTTTATGTTGGCAAATTAAATTGGGCTGTTGGAATTTAGGTCACCAGGTTGACCAGTTTACTTGATCAGGTTTACCATTTCTTCGTAGAAATGAACCTCTTTTTATAATTTACTTCCAAATAAAATGTAATACATGGGGATACAGGGGGAAATTATTTATTTAGGAAAAATTTCAGTTTATAAAAAGAAGAAATCAAATGTTTCAACAAACATAAATACATTTCACAACTCCTTCAGAGCATCAGCCACATTAATCCAAGCCAAGTCTGATACACTACACAAATAACAAAGTACAAAAACTGTTAACATAGCAGTAAAGTCAACACACCTGGCATAAAGTTAAATCATTTACCTATCAAATCCTTCTTTATTATATTAAAAAAGCAGCATCACCATAAGAACATACAGTGTGTTTTCTTCAGTGCTCTTGTCTACTTGCTGAACACACTGGCTCCAGGAGCTTTGGCAGCGGCAGGCTTCCCCAGGGCCGTCTCCGTCCCCGTCCTCACTCCACTGAACACCGACGGAGCCGTTTTGCCCATACGCTCTGAACACAGACAAACAGATATGTAAGGTCAGAAAAACAGATGCTTAAACCAGGTGACTGCAAATCAAAAAGAAAAATAATTCCACTTGGGATATCTTTAAATTAGGTATTTGAGAGGTCGATTGTCTTTCAGCACTATACTCTTGTCTGAATTGTGATTGTGATGTCCCTACACTACAGTAATCCCTGCCTCTTATGTCCAGGTCACATAACCTCTTTTAATAATTTCACTGAGAAATATTGTCACATTTCGTGAATGAAGTCTGATTTTGGACAATGTAGCCAATACACACGTTATTCTGTGACACTACCTCCAAGCAAGATTCAGAAAGCACTTTCAACTCATTGACCTGTAATGAAAGTTGGTTGTTTGTTTGGACTCTAACCAAACTCACAAATATAGACTTAAGATCGGTGAAACAATATTTGAGGATGAAAGGGCATTAAAGCAAACCAACAGTTGGTGGGGGTTGTGCAAGAGTAGGGGGTGTGGTGTTATCTTCTATAAGCAAGTGTTCATGTATGTGTTTGTGTGGAGTCCTAACCAGGGGTTACATTAGGATTTGATATGTGGGGGGACTCTGTTTGAAGATGAGAAGGGGGGGGTTATATTTTTGACACACACACACACCGCTGCAGACTCTGCACGGAGGAGCCGCGGAGGAGGAAGAGACACACTAAGCCGAAAAAACTATATCCGGTCACAGAGATCTGCTATTTTAAAGTGAAGTCAACACATATCGCCCTTAAATATAGTCTATATTAAGAAAAGTTTTAACATATCGTTTTTTGTAAACATGACAAACGAGCGAGGGTGATGACGTCAGAGCATCGTCCTACAGTATGTGCCGGGATTAGCCCCCCGCCCAATTTAACCCCTGGTCCTAACCTATAATAGTTATACATAATAGTTAGCACATCAGTCTTTTTACCATACTGATCTTTATTTTGACCGAGTTCTGACTTGAGTTTTAGAGTAAAGACTGGTGGTATATGCACTCTCAGCCTTTACGTACAATATGCAGCCTTTATGCAATGTCACAGTGTAGCAATATCCTTACAGTCATAGCCGACCTTCAAAACATATAGCAACATGATAGTTTCACTAGTGGTCTATATAAGGTCTAACTTACAAGGACATTTGCATGGTATCAACTGGTATCTTTGCAGCTAAATGTTATAGAAAACGCGTCCTTGCTACTAGATTTTAGGTTTTCGCTGATGTTCAGATTGTAAAAAAATCAATACGTCCACTCCTCAATGCATCCTTCCCTGGTGGTCTAGTGGTTAGGATTCGGCGCTCTCACCGCCGCGGCCCGGGTTCGATTCCCGGTCAGGGAACTACTGTTTTATGCCTTCTCATTTATCGACACAGGAAAGCGATAATGCTTCATTATATCAGATCAGTAGTGGTGGGGGGATACCAAATGCCTAACTTGCAAATACAAGTCTTCAACACATATATACATTTAAAAAAATATATAAATAAAGCTATAATGCTAATTATATTGTTACAAAAGGAAATATATAAATACATTTTTGACATAATGCATAAAGGCTTTACTTAATAACATGAATAAATACATGTTGGGAAAAACGTTTTAATTTCTTCATTTCTTTCACATTTGTATCCTTTTCTTCCTTTCACATTTTAATTATGCATGTGTATCAATGTAATCATTTCAGCTTTGATGTATTTAGCCTTTTATTTATTCAAATGTGTTAAATAAAAAAATTGTTTATTTCACGGTGAATATATATATTTATTTATTGATGAATAAATGTGTGCTCTATGGAACATAGCATCTAAAAACAGAGACTCATCCACCTCAAATGACTCAATGTTAGATAAAGTCTCTTCAGTTGTTAATAAGACAGTCAAGCTATATAATCAAACTGTCAAGAAAACATATTATTTTAAGTCTAGAGACCAAGCATGAATAAATAAAAGAAATGTAAATGCTGTAAAGAAAGCGCCTCAAAATATCTTTACATAAGAGAGCTTAACATCTGACAAGGAGTTGCATCACTTGTCTTGTTTTTCAGAAGAATGACAAAAGGCTTTACTCACCACACTCCTCCATGACCTCATAGGTCTTACTCTTGACCTCGCCCTTCAGTCCCAGTTTACTGCGAGCTCCTTTCAGGTCCTCCTCCTTCATCGGGGGACGCTTCTTCCTCTTCACCTCATCTGGCTGGAGTGAATTGTACAAAGGTGTTATGTTAGGAGTAAAAAGCAGGAAAGCTAAGAGTGTAAACAACCTGTCATCACACATAATGCACTGTAAATAACCAAAACACCATTATCAGACAAAACATACCTGTGACATCTTGATTAAAGCTGGTTAAATGAATGCACAGAAGCCTCTTTGCAGTGTGATAGATCCGCTGTTAGTTTCTAGTGTGTGTGTTTGTCTACCAGCAAGCCAGACAGTATATATAGTCCTGGTCAGACCCCTACCCTCTGTCCCACTCTGTCTGTTGTCAGTGTTTATTATTAGGTGTGACGTGAAGGATCCTACAGTTGGAACGGGTCTCCCATTTTTTTACGATAAGCTTACAGGTCAACAGCTGATAATGCAG